GCTCCTAAATGGCTGAAGAAAAAGCTATTTGGGAGCCGATTACCCGCTCTTAACGTAATTTATACGGACCGGGTGGGGCCCACACAGCAGGTGGGCGTGGACTAAACTTTTCAGTGTAATGCTTTGCATGATGGGATAAAACCCACTAGCGACAGCTCTTAAAGGGCTACGCCTATACTCATAGAATCTGGGGTTACAGTACGTAACCAACATTTTCATCCTTGAAAAAGTGACTTCTGGCCTGCAGATGAGTGTAGACCGCTTCTTTTTAACTCCAGTGTACCTTGAATTACTTATCTCCTTGTTATATTTTGCAAATCATAACCTTTTGAAAGTCTGAGCCTCCTGTAACAAAGGAACAAACCTACTTACCCTGACTCTGTCTTCAACTCCCAGACTGCCTGCTCTCAATCATACAGCACCTTTCCTTTTTCATACCTGACTTATGGTTGAAAACGTATTTGTTGCCAAAACGAGAAGTTCAAGATTCAACAATCAGAAAGAGACAAAAATGTATTCCCTGAAAGAGTTCCAAGTCCAAAACCCCTGCAGAACCAAAACTAACAAAAAAGACACGTCTAACATTTCCCAAAAACATCTTGCAGACCCCAGAGACTTCTGGGAAAATATTTTGCGGATTTATGAACCAAAGTGGAACATTTTGGAAGGTGTCCTCCCCATTACATCAGATATGAAACTAACACTGCATTTCAGAAAAAGTTTATCAAAGCACAATGCCCCTCTCCCCCAAAACACACACAATTTCTGTTGGCATGGCGCTGGTGAAGAGGCAGCCATTACACGCAGCTCAGTTTGACTGTCTCAGATTTTTTTTTGTTTGTTTTTATTTATTTAATTGTATTTTTTACATAGTTAATGTTTATGGCCGGATATTTTTAGACCAATTATTGTATGCATTTGATATGAGAAATGTCTGCTCTTTAAATAACAAAGTGGATAAACTCATGTCCCTAATGTTGGGCCAGAGAGCCTTTCAGACTGCAGCCTTTTGTGCTGTTGTGAAACAAGGCCCATTGGCACAAAATTAAAAGAAAAAGAGCAATTTACTTCTTTTTTTTTTTAATTTTTTTTTAACGTTTTTCTTCTGGATGCTTAATAACTTTGTGGTTTAATTTTCCCGTTCATTCAAATAATGTCCTAATGCAGATAGAACAATATACAAATTTAAAGGCAATGGCCTTTTAAAAAAATTAAATAACACATTTTAAGACGTTAAAATGAGACATTTGACAGGACTGGTCATCAAAAAAAATTGTTTTTATACTATAATTGAAAAGATGGTGGAAAACATATTTGATACATTACACTTGTGCTATGGCTGAAGTTTTTTTATATCTGTTTGAAAAAAAATTAAGCTGTTCCAAAACAACTTAGAGAAATTTGGTGGATGTTTTGTCCTACTCTTTTTGTGAAACTTCTAAAAGAAATGTGTTTAATCTCCACAGATAGAAAAGAAAGGCATTCTGCCTGATTGTGCACTTAGTTGCTTGAAGAGAATCTTCTCAGCAGGATGATGTGCAAGGAGTACTATTGACAATGCAATTAAATGTTGAGTTTTAATGATTCAGGTTCAAGGCTTTGATTATTTTTTTTTTCTCTGTCTGATTTGTGTGACTGCAGTGCTTCCAAAAAAAACCCAGAGTAAAACTCTTCAGTAAAGTAGTTGAAACCCCAAACATATTTTCCAGTAAAATAATCTTTAAGTGGCTTCTTTCCTGGATTTCAAGAGTAATGCTACTGTGCTGCACATAAAATCATCAAACAATTGTAAAACCTCCATTCCAATTCTGGGAAATGGATTCCACTTACTGGTCTCTTTTGATCTCCTCAATGTTTTTTACTGGGGTAGACGAGGTCATTTTGCAAGAGCAGTACACTGCCTTGTGCAACACACGCTAACACAAGCACACAAATATACTCTTGTAAGTGGTCGTCTGGCTGCTTCCAGCAGACAGACTCTGTGATTTTTTTTTTTCTGCTGTCACTAAGCCATTATTAATATTATTATGTTTATTTGATTTTTTTTTTTTTTTACCATGGATACAACCAATTTGATCAAAATTAACAGCTGCAGAAATCTTGTGTATACAAGACAGCTATTCTTGCTACAAACACTGGGTCCAGCCGCACCATCCTCCCAATACCGGTGGAGCTGAAAGGAGATACCAGGACTACAAAGCTGGAGCCAAGGGAAAAAAAAAACAGGCTAGTGGTGAAGCAGTGGAATTTCAATTCCAAGCCCTTGGTTCCATTGATTATTATGGGAAATGTCAACTGTATACCAAACAAGATGGATGAGTTGGTGAAGAATGACAGATAGTATAGAGAATGCAGCTTACTGTGTTTGGTAGAAACTTGACTCAACCAGAACACACCTGATGCTGATGTGGACCTCTCAGGGTTCACCATTGAGAGCAAACAGAGATACTGAATGCAGCGGCAAGAAGAAAGAAGGAGAGCTAACATTTTTTGGTATTTGTCTTATGCCAAATGCCCTTTTTGATGCAATGTGGGCTCAAACTTACAGCCTCAGGATTACAAGACTGCAGAGCTGACCACTGAACTACTGCAGTCTCTACAAATGTAAAGTTGTTCTTTCATCTGCTCTCTTCAGGGGTTGTCACTGCGAGGGATCTCGCATGAAAAATTGTGGCGTTTTACGTCCAATGCTCTTCCTAATGCAACCTGAGAATTACAAAAATATGATCCATCACCCCAGTTTGAGGTCAAGAGCGCTCTGGAGCAGGTTTTCATCCAGGATGTCTCTGTACATTGCTGTATTCATATTTCCCTCTATCCTGACTAGTCTACCAGCTCCTGCTGCTGAAAAACATTCCCATAGCATGATGCTGCCACTGCCATGCTTCACTGTAAGGATGGTGTTGGCTTGGTGATGAACGGTGCCCGGTTTCCTCCAAACATGACGCCTGGCATTCACACCAAAGAGTTCAATCTGTGTCTTGTTAGATCAGTGAGTTTTATTTCTCATGGTCTAAGAGTCCTGCAGGTCCTTTTGGCAAACTTCAGATGAGCTGCCATGTGCCTTTTATTAAGAAATGGCTTTTGTCTGACCACTTTACCATTTAGGCCTGATGGTGGATTGCTGCAAAGATGGTTTTCCTTCTGGTAGGTTCTCTCTCCACAGACAAATGCTGAAGCTCTGACAGAGTGACCTTCTGGTCCATGGTCATCTGCCTGACTAAGGTCCTTCTTCCCTGATCGCTCAGTTTAGACGGACTGGTGGTTCTAAAGTTCTTCCATTTATGAATGTTTCAGGCCACTGGGCTCACTGGAACCTTCAAAGCAGCAGAAAATTTTCTGTATTCTTCCCCAGATGCGTTCCTCAACACAATCCTGTCTTGGAGGGCTACAGACAATTCCTTTGACTTCATGCTTGGTGTTTGTGCTCTGACATGCACTGTCAGCCGTGGGACCTTCTATAGACAGGTGTGTGCCTTTCCAAATCAGGTCCAATCAGCTGGATTTACCACAGGTGGACTCCATTTAAGTTGTAGAAACATCTATGAAACTCAGTGAGTAGAATCCCTGTATACAAGAGGGAGTGTTTACAAAGTGAAATGAGCACATGCAGGTGACTTTCCTTCCCTCCATTGATTATGCTGACATTATTTACATGAACGCCCCTACAAGCACCCCGCAGATGTTGAACGCTGTCTATCATGGTGCACTAAAATTCATAACTGGCTGTAACTAGCGTACCCATCATTGCACCCTGTATTCACTGGTTAACTGGTTATCATTAACTTCACGCAGACTCTCTCACTGGTACATTTTCATCTTTAAATCACTTCTTGGTCTGCTGCCTTCATATATCTCCTCCTACATGTCTCTGCGTGAGTGCAGCTACAGCGTGCGCTCTCAGGACATTATTACCTGCAGTGTTCCCTCAGTGCGGACTGAACTAAGCAAAAGGGCCTTCCCCTACTCCGCTCCTGTTTTCTGGAATATCTTGGAAAAAATCTGAAGCTCTCTACCTTGACCTCTCTAAGTGGTTTCAAACAGCTGATAAGTTCATGGCAATAACCAAAAAACCAATGCAGACATGTTCCTGTTTTTAGTCTTCTAGTATTCTATATCGCTTTACAACCTAGCTGTTTTTTTTTTGTTTCATTTTTTTAAATACAATTTTCTTTCTTTTTTTAATTTATTCTTCTCAATGTACATGCTTTTTTTATGGTTGTTATTGTCTAATGTTGTCATCACTCTTTGTTAAAAAAAACAGGTCTCTCTTGTAAATGAGTCCCCGATGCTCAGTAAGACTAACCTGTATAAATAAAGGTTGACTGAATGAAACTTACTGCCTCACAACACAATAAAATATTTTCCCAAGTTTGTGGTAAATCCATTCACACACCCAACTGTGTTACAGTTTTCCTCATTTGTATGTCTGTGTTTTAGTGTTGGTCCAACAGTCCAAACTGTGAATCGGTGGTCTTTTTACAGCACAGCTGAGCATAGATGGGGTAGAAAGGGTGATGTAGAGGAGCATGACCAGACTTGGAAAGATTTCCTTTTACATTCTGTGCATGACCTCCAAAATAAAGCTTGAAGCAAAGTTGTTGTTTTTTGAAGTGATTCAAACAGCCCCCTGGTAGGACTTACACTTTTACCTGAATAGCTTCAGAATTTCAGGAGAGCATGTTTTAAGATGAGGTACAGAGAATGAGTCACAAAGTCTGAAGTGCTGCGCCACTTCAATATAGAAGCTGCATTTGACATATTTTACTTGTATAAAAACTTCATCAAAATGCAAATGAGTGGTTTCCACATCGCTTCTATATAGAGCACTGCAATAACAGGCACTGAGATGATCTTTTTTACGTCACGATTACTTGAATGAAAGAGTATGGATGCTGTTATAGTCAGAGTGTGAATGTGATTTTATTGATTGTGATGCATTTATTGTACTTTGCAGCTGCGTTAATCACCCAAATATCTTTATTGTAATTTTGTTTTAGGTAAAAAGGCAGACTGTACATTGTCCATTAGTGATGAGGATCTTCGGGATTTGATGATGGGAAACTTGAACCCACAAACGGTACGTTGCACTCAAAAAGTCTTTTTGGCTTTTGTTTCTTTATGCTTTATATATCAACCTAAATCATAAGCTTTTTAAGAATGCACCCCTCTTTATAAATCCATTAGCAGCTGAACATGTCAGACTTGTGCCTCTTTGCTTCTTTTTACATGTTTTTATGAAGGACACAAACTAGCCTGTTTTTCTTAGCAGCTTTACGTCAAGCGTCATCTTTTGTAGGGTTTTCATCATCTGTAGTATAATGGATTTGGTCTGGATCAAAGGAAAACATAATCGTTACCTGTTATGTTTGGTCCATTTCTTGTTTCCAAACTAGTCTGGAGTCAAAAACATCAAAACAGTAAACATATGATGATAGACATGAAACCAGTAATTTAGCCAGTCTTCATCCTGAGCAGTATATTTCTCATCAGTGATCATAAATGCACTACTTTCTTTGAACAAAACATGAAATTTTAGTTCAGTACTTTCACTTGAATGCAAAAGTAAGTTCTTTTTATTTGATACATGTCTTAAAATTATGTCAACATGCTCTCAGACAGATGCTCGTCATGTCTTCATGCTTGGGGCTCTGACTCATGGTTACAACCATTATACCTTCAAAATGAACACAACAATCAAAGTATAATCACTGGACAGAATATTGTGAAACACCTATGTAACTGAAAATATTTTAAAATTATTTACCGGTAAAACCCAGTCTTATCTAGGTCATGTGACCGGAGGTCAAATAAGTACCGATAGAATGCTGTAAATATTCATTAAATTAGTACCATTTATTTTTATTGGTTTTACTTATTTATTTATTAAACACCTTTGTTAACAACTGGTGTTCTTAAATGTACTTACTAAATAAATTTGACGTGATTCTCCTCAGCACTTCTTGTGAGGAACAGCCCCTCCCTCCCTGTTCATTTCTTTTTTTCTCTTGTCTCCTTCTCTCTGTTTAATGCCCCTGTTGAAACTTAAATGAGATACTGGTATTTGAACACATATTTACTGTACAGGTCCTTCTAAAAAAATTAGCATATCATGAAAAGGTTCTCTAAACAAGCTATTAACCTAACCATCTGAATCAACAACGTAACTCTAA